ACGAATAGTAATCAGTTTGAATGCTCAAAATCCCTGTCCTATAAGTAAAGTGTATTATTACTTTGCAAAAACCAATGTTCCATATTTTGCAACTTTCGAGTTTCTAAACATTAATTTTTAAACTAATCAACTATAGTCCAATCAATTAAAAGTAGGGGTAAAAATTTGATTTGTTTTCCTGTATCTGCTGAGAAAAAAGAACCAAGTCTTGACTCAAATTTTTAGCTCATAATAAGATAGTTATTGTTAATTGATTGAACTATAGTTCTGAAAATTTGCTCTATTCACATCATTATAGTGTCATTTGTAACGTTTGCTTTCATTTCTTATTATTCTCTTACATAAAAACTCATACCAACAATAACACTTGATAATTAGCTCAGTATTTCAGCTTCAATTACTCTTCCACAATAATTTACTTCTATTTAAGATAATTAATTTATGAATATTTCGAAAGTATCAGCTTTTTTCTTCAGTACATTTTAACAATAAAACTGTGCAACGTACACACTCCTCACTTTTAGAAAATTTTCATTTTTTTCAGACGAAATCATAGTTTTTATTTTAAAAAAAAGATCTCAAAAAGGAGAAAAAAGTTTCGACACTTCACATTTTTCCAAAAATTGGTGCGTGCATCTTTTTCAAAATTCAAAATATTTCCTGACATCTCCTCACTTTTTTTCTTCATCCCATGTCTGAAAATATAAGAGAACAAAATGATAAGTGCAGAATGTTTACATTTCTTTTATCTTTTTCTTATATTACTAGTACGTAAGAAGAAACAAGACGATAATACTGAACGAGATGGATTAAAATTCATCTTCTGCGCCAGTAACACAAGAAAAAGATAAAGGGAATATAAGCAATTGTACACTTATCATTTTGTTTTCTTATATTTTATTGTTAAAATGTACTGAAGAAGAAAGCTGATGCTTTCGAAACGTTTGCAAATTAATTGTTTTAAATAAATGTAAATTATTATGGAAGAGTAATTGAAACTGAAATACTGAAATAATTATAATGTCCTTTCAATTAAACATAAAAAAAACATAATACTTGGTAGTAGTGATTTCTTACTTTGTCTGTACCAAAAAAAATTGAATAAACTTTTATCACTAACTACAAAATCAGCTCATTTGATTGAACCGATATGAAGGTACTTCTTGTTTTATCATGATGCTATTCATACCCCACCCTGTAAATATCAAATTAAAGAAACGCAAGAGAATTTTAAATTCGATATAGGTTTCTATGTCAACAAAATTCAACTATAATAAATCATTTGTTACAACTTAATAATAAGATTGACATAACTCAAAACTCATCTACACTATTCTTCCAGTAACACAAATTTTAGGAATATGATTGTTCTCTCTAAGGACATGCTCAATTCAAAGAAAACTGAATGTTTAGTTACATGTAAAGGTATACGATAAAAACTATTCCATATTTAAGGAGTTCATCGAACTACTGCGCGTTCTGTGAAAGTAACAAATATATATATATATTATTGCATAGATTTCGGACGATCTTGAGTTTTTTTATGCATATATAGGGTTGGACAGACAGTCGAAAGGATGTATATAACGTGTAAACTATCATCCAAAATCGATTATACCTGACCGATATTATTATTAATAATGTGAATTTTTGGAAAGCATGTTTAAATAAAGAGTGGTCGAACTTGTAGAGAACGTTTAGAAGTATCATCTGGAAAAAAAAGATACTTCGAAATGCATGCGTATAGTATACTATTATGGCCATATGACTAACTACCAACGACAAAATTAACCCTACACTTGGTTTTTGATCTAAAATATAAAGTTTATAGTTTGAAGAAATTTTCTTGGACATATATATGAATAGTACAAGTATAGATATTTATAATACAAATAAAAATCTAATATGAAGATACAAACTGTTGATACACTGTCGAAGTCTTTTTAATACTTTTATCAGCGAATATACAAAAATCGAATGGATTCTTATATGTTTCTGGCAGAGTCAAATGACAAGAAGTGTTCAATTCAAGCGACGGTGTGACCAATATAATATTGGATTATATGAATGGCCGGGTTATAGTCCTGATTTTAATGTCGTCGAACTAGTCTGGAACATTATCAAACAAAAAATTAAAACCAAGAATCCGAAATCACAACGTGAACTAGAGAACGTTGTCGATGAAGCTTTACATGGTTTATCATTAAATGTTATTCAAGCATGTATTAAAAAGACTCAGAAAATATATCAACAGTTTGGACCTTTTGTATTATATTTTTATTTGTATTATAAACATCTACACTTGTACTATTCATTTATATCCAAGAAAAGGACGGGAGCGTATAAGGCTGAAATTTGGCCCCTTTTGATTTTGGTTACTAGTAC